AAACGTTATTACATTTTATTAGTGATGATCAAAATTAGTCTTGATCTTGCAGTCATGGTCCTGCAAAAGTGCAAAAGAAAGACTAAAATCAAGACTAAGACCGAACGAACAAGTGGATTTATGAGTTAAACTATTTGAAGGAACTTTAATATATTCATTTCATCTTCTTAGTATTTAAAATTTTCAGTTTGCTTTACTACAGTTTAACGCTAAATATAAAAAAAGAAACTTTACCATTGTTTGAAAAAAGGGATCTAGAAGAATGTTCTCGGAGTAAGTGTTCTTTATTCCCATGTCTCCTAGCTCATTGAAATATAGAGACAAACTAATTTTTTTTTAATACGTTTTCGAAAAGTCTAGAAGAGTTCAAAATGTGGTGTTACAGGCAAATGATGAGGATACCGTCGATAGAGTTAGAAATGTAGAGGTATTAGAATGAATAGGAGAATAGAAGACTCTATGGAAGTGAATAAAAAATAGGCGAGATAGGTTGGTAGGACACCTTCTCAGGCATGAAGGTCTAGTCAGAGACATTAGAGGCAGAAACAGGAGTTAGGACGGGTAGAGGTAGGCCTAAGTTATATTACTGTTCGCAAATAGTTAAGGATGTGGGTTGTTCTAGTTTTAGGGAAATGCGAAGATTAGCTCAGGATAGGAAAGAGTGGAGGTGCATGTCCAACCAGTTTTAAGACTGACGACTTTATGATGATGATGATTTTTTACTTTATCAAGTACTTGGCACTATTTTGTTCGCTAAAAGGTCAATTTATGTGTTAGAGGAAGGATAATCTCGAGTTAAAAGTCATGATAAGCTCGCATATGTGACAGCATTTAAGACAATTATTGAGTCGCTAAATCAAAAAACTTGTGTTTAGAAGAATTTTTAAAAAAAGAGGAAGTATCAGACTAAATGAGCAAAACCAAAATCAGGACCTAGAATATATCAGCAGGACCTAGACCAAGACTGAGACTAGATCAGTAAGACGAATTCCAGGACCAAGACTAAAAGCATTTGGGCAAGACCAAGGCCAATACCAAGCCTTGGATAGTCTTGGTTTTTGGTTTTGGTCTTGCTTTGCTCATGACTATACTTTTCATATGTCAACCGGTGAAACATAACTTAATCCTTGAGGCATGGAACTTTACATTGGCCAATGGTTTAGATAAGGTTGTGGTACTAAACATATGCCAATTAAGGAAACTCACCATAACATGACCTAACCCCATGATGCACAGAAGTTTGCACAAACGAATCATGGCATTTGAACATGTTCAACACGTCAAAATATTGGTGACTTTAGACGTTTAAATAGCCAAGTATTCCCATAATTTTGTAGCTCCTACCTATTAATATTATTAGTCTAAAACACTATTATTGTATACATACATTCCTATTTTATTCATATAGTGATGATGATTAGGTAAATAGATGCAAAGAAAAGGTCGACCACCTTTTATTACATACACGATATAAATAAATATCTGCTGTATGTCGATCGTATGACGAAACGTTATTACATCCTCATTATCAAAGCCGAATCTAATTACGTAACGCATTGAACCTTAAAATAGTCCAGGGTCATCAGACTGAAGGAATTTTGAATTGAAAATATCCGAGAACATCACCATCATCATCGGAAATCAAGAATCCTCTCTCGAGAAGGAATCCTCACGTCTTATTTCCGTGAATTATTGACACCGGCTTTACCCTTGTCACATATTTATATGTATGTATACTTTGTTGTTTCCAACACACCGGTTCTTGATTCATATAAATAGGTGTAAATATCCGTCTACCTCAGTTGTCGTTGATGAGTAGTCGGGTATAATTTCATTACTAACAGTAATTAATATTAAAACACGTAGTTGACCATGAGGTGTGGGACAAGTGCCGCGATCTTGTTTCTGATTACCATAACAAATCCTTGTAAGTATATCAAGAAATTTTTGTTTTGTTTTTTATCTAGAATTCACTTAAATCACTTTTTGTGTATCCAATAGTCTTTTGTTTTGTTTTGAAAATTAAAATATTTAAGGTTTGTAATACATTCTAATATGTAGTTATTGTTGCGTGTACACTAAAAAATGTTAATTGGTATTTAATTATATATGTGCACTTATTATTAGTTATTTTATAAAAAAAATTCCATTATTTTAAATAATGTCATTATGTTTTTTTTTGTAAAAAGTTTAAAATTATTTTTTAGTTTTTACTGTTCAAAAAATATTTGGAAGATTCCTTAAAGGTCCTAATATAAAATATGAATATTTTTATTTTCTAAAATTTACTTGTTCGTTTATAATAAGTATACGGTTTACATAGTTTTTNTATTAGTCTAAAACACTATTATTGTATACATACATTCCTATTTTATTCATATAGTGATGATGATTAGGTAAATAGATGCAAAGAAAAGGTCGACCACCTTTTATTACATACACGATATAAATAAATATCTGCTGTATGTCGATCGTATGACGAAACGTTATTACATCCTCATTATCAAAGCCGAATCTAATTACGTAACGCATTGAACCTTAAAATAGTCCAGGGTCATCAGACTGAAGGAATTTTGAATTGAAAATATCCGAGAACATCACCATCATCATCGGAAATCAAGAATCCTCTCTCGAGAAGGAATCCTCACGTCTTATTTCCGTGAATTATTGACACCGGCTTTACCCTTGTCACATATTTATATGTATGTATACTTTGTTGTTTCCAACACACCGGTTCTTGATTCATATAAATAGGTGTAAATATCCGTCTACCTCAGTTGTCGTTGATGAGTAGTCGGGTATAATTTCATTACTAACAGTAATTAATATTAAAACACGTAGTTGACCATGAGGTGTGGGACAAGTGCCGCGATCTTGTTTCTGATTACCATAACAAATCCTTGTAAGTATATCAAGAAATTTTTGTTTTGTTTTTTATCTAGAATTCACTTAAATCACTTTTTGTGTATCCAATAGTCTTTTGTTTTGTTTTGAAAATTAAAATATTTAAGGTTTGTAATACTTTCTAATATGTAGTTATTGTTGCGTGTACACTAAAAAATGTTAATTGGTATTTAATTATATATGTGCACTTATTATTAGTTATTTTATAAAAAAAATTCCATTATTTTAAATAATGTCATTATGTTTTTTTTTGTAAAAAGTTTAAAATTATTTTTTAGTTTTTACTGTTCAAAAAATATTTGGAAGATTCCTTAAAGGTCCTAATATAAAATATGAATATTTTTATTTTCTAAAATTTACTTGTTCGTTTATAATAAGTATACGGTTTACATAGTTTTTACAATTACTGTTTCTGACTTATATTTGATTTATATGATTTGAATTCAAGTTTCTATTGTTAGAACAAAATTTGTCATGTCTCTTTTTTAATATTTTTAAACAAACAACTTGGGGAATTATCTAAGGGAAAATATCTGAAATTTGAGTATAACATAAAATGTTATGTCATATGTCTACCTATTTATAGTACCTATGCCTAATTCTCTCTCATTCATTCAATTTAAATATTCAACAATGATACAATATATTAAATTTTTGTCAAATAGACATATCCAGTATGATGAAAGGATAAACACGATTTGTTTAAAACATATTATGAAAATAATTTTTCCGTTCAAATTTCGTTTACCGAAAGAAATATTTTATAAAATAATGTCTTACTAGACTCACAAATACATGAATTTGTTCAAAACCAAATTGACCAGTATTTTTTAGAATTCAAAATAGGAGTTTTTGTTTTTTTCACATATTTTCAATGTCAGACTATAAACACTAAAAATAAATTTCTTATAACCGGTTGTTACGTAACTGTATCCATACGTAAATGAATAAATATTAATTAATGAACCAGAATAATATTTCATTGATGATATATGACTAATTTGTAGCAGTTATATTTCGAAATTCATTTGTGTATTAAAATTTATTACATTGTTTTTTAATTAGAATTCCCTTGTTTTACGAGTTTGCTAGTTGTTTAGAAAGGATTCAAACAGAGTGACGCATGAAGTACAAAGAAAGTAAAAAAAACTAATTAAAGGTTTTGTAAAGTATGTTATTTTCAGATATTTAATATAATTTTTGGTTTCACAATACGAGTACAGAAGCAACGAAAATATTATTTTATCAATATTTGTTATATTGTTTACATTGTTGTAACAAGTTTCTGCCTTTATTTTATTAGGTAATAATATCCAAACGAGGTAATAGTAATTAAAATATCATGAATTTTAGCATGACTTATGAATGAATTTTATGTGGTGACTATTACCTTTAAGAAAGCTAAAGTATTTTATGAAATTCCCCTTTTTGGATTTTTAGAAAAAAAAAAAGATTTTCTATTAGAATATTTCAAAACATGCACTTTGTACAACTGCTCATGTTATTGCAATTCAAAATACTATTTCTTCTATTTTTCAAGGACGTTATTTACGAAAACAGAATCATAAAAATAGTTTTCTTGATTTTGTAAGCTATCTGTTATATATATATAAAAATGCAGAATTCCGCTATTCTTACCTGTTGTCTTAATTAACCTTTTAGATCTCGTTAATAATCATTAGTATTTCGGGACATTACCTCTAATTTCTCGCGGCGCCTTCAGTATGATTAAAAACGTTAGTTACATCAATTTTGATTAACGTTACCATTATTATTGACGAGACCGTTCTAAATTTTTTGAGAACAAAAGAGTGAGATCTCTTTTAGATCGAACCGGAAAAAAATGTAAACAAACAAATAAAAAAGGTCGAAGTAAAAACCTTGTTCGGCGAATTAATTTTATTATTAGGTAATTTCTATTTCATCAATTATTCGTATGCTAAGCTACTTTTTTTTATTTGTTTTATATTCAATGTACTTAATAATATTAATTAGAACTTTCCATTTGCTTCAGCACTTCAATATGGAATAAAAAGTCACAGTCCTCATGCTATTTCTTCTGCAAAAGCTTCAGGTAATTAAACTGAAAACCATTTATTTTATTTATTTATAATAATGTATAATACAAACAACTAAGTAGATGTTTTTAATGGAAGTCTTAATTGTCTGTATTGATGCCCACATTGATGAGTGTCAATAAGGTGGCATCTTTTAGTAACACTTACTATTAAGTATTTTGTTGCAGTAGAAGTATTTTATTAACGAGAATATAATGTATACAAATTCTCATATTTTATAATAACAACATTAATAAGTCAAACTGATTAATTTTCTTATTTTTTAGCTTCTAGTTCAAGTACATCTGGAGGAAATGATTATTATGACGATTTAGGTTCGGAAAACTCTTTAGCCAGTGGCTCATCCTTTGCTCAAGCGGGAGCTTCGGCGAGTGCTAGTTCTAGTGCTAGTTCTAGTTCATTTTCTCAAGCTGGATCTGCAGCCAAATCTGGAGCAGCAGCACATGCAGGTAGTTCTGCTTCTGAATTAGGATCAAAATCTGGTTCCAGTGCTGTGGCTGGTGCTGGTGCTGGAGCCTATACAGGATCTAGCGCACTCAGCAGTTCCTCCGCAAATGCCGGAGCCAATGCACTTGCTGGATCGACCGCTGGGCTTTCTTCCGATGTTGGCTTGAAGGAAGTAAGCAGCAGTGGATTAAATTCCTTAGCAGGAGCTAATGCAGACAGCAGTTCGCAATATGGAAGTGACTTATCTTCGAAAATCCATGGTCCATCAAAAGGTACATTGAAATTTCAGTTTATTATTTTCTTCATACTTATATTAGCTGATCTAGGTTATTAAGACAAAAATTTGATTTTTAGACTTGACACCTCCTTTGAGCGGAAGTTCTGGGTCCATCCAATTATCGTCAGGAGTATACAATTCTGGTGTATCATGCAAAGTTTGTTCCGAAAGTGAAGAAGTAGAAATTCGTTATAACGGACCATTCCCAGGTCCACATGGAAGTATTCATGATAGTAAACCTATCTCCACAATTGCGACGGTGGTACCTTCTTCTCAGCCCGCAGCGCCACTGCCAGTTCCCCAAAAATTGTCCGGGGTTCATTACGACATATTTCCCGGTCCTAAGGGAACCATCCATGATAGCGTTTCAGTATCTGGATCATTAGCTTCTAGTTTAAATAAAGCAGAAAATGAGAAAGATTTACTTTCCAGTAATGTTTTTCTCCAAGGTGCTTTGGGAAGTAGTGGAAGTAATCTATTGACCGGAAGCAGCGCATTATCTGGAAGCTCATCTAACACCGGAGAAGCAAAGAATACTGGCACATCATTTAATTCCGGAACTGCGTTAAACACCGGAAGCGCTTCTAATTCAGGAACCGCTTTTAATACTGGTGGAGCATTCAACTCAGGATTTGCATCAAATACTGGAACTTCTTACAACTCAGGAACTGCGTCTAATACTGGAACTTCTTACAACTCAGGAACTGCGTCTAATACTGGAACTTCTTACACTTCAGGAACTTCTTCCAACATTGGAACCTCCTCAAATATTGGAACCTCCTACAATTCAGGAACGTCGTCGAATACTGGAACTGCATATAATACAGGGAGTGCCTTGAATACAGGTTCTTCATTCAACGAAGGTGCAGCACTAAATTCTGGAAGTTCAGTAAATAAGGGTACTGCAAGTAATGTCGGAAGCGCTTACAATGCTGGAAGTTCATTAAATGAAGGAGCATCATTCAATAAAGGTTCATCAGGTTTGTTTGGAAGTTCATACAACACTGGCTCTTCAGGCAATTTCGGTGGAGCGTTTAATAAAGGAGAATCGTATAATGGCGGAACTTCATCAAACGTTGGCTCGTCCGGTAATTTTGGAAGCTCGTACAACGCTGGCGATTTAAGTAATTCTGGAACTTCTTTCAATACTGGTACTGCTCTTAACACAGGCGATTCTTTCAATAGTGGAACAGCTTTAAATGAAGGCACTTCTAGTAATGTTGGTGGTGCCTTCGTTACTGGACAGGCAGTGAACAAGGGAGAATCTTTCAATTCTGGATCCGCATTAAATACTGGATCCTCTTACAACTCGGGATCCTCTGAAAATTTAGGAGGCGCATTTAATTCTGGATTTTCTGGAACTTCGGGCACTGCTATTAACAAAGGTACCGCACTGAATACAGGAAGTGCTTTAAACAGCGGAAGTTCAAGCAACATTGGAAGTTCCTATAACAGTGGAAGTTCTAGTAATTTAGGAGAGGCCTTCAACACCGGAAGTTCCAGTAATTTAGGAGGAGCTTTCAACAGTGGAAGTTCCAGTAACACTGGAGGTTCCTACAATAGCGGAAGTTCTGGTAATTTTGGTGGTGCTTTCAACAGTGGAAGTTCCAGTAACACTGGAAGTTCCTACAATAGCGGAAGTTCTGGTAACACTGGAAGTTCCTACAATAGCGGAAGTTCTGGTAATTTTGGGGGTGCCTTCAACAGTGGAAGTTCCAGCAATACAGGAGGAGCGTTGAATTCTGGATCTGCTTTCAACAGTGGAACCTCTAGTAACATAGGGAATGCAGCAAATTCAGGAGTCAGCGGTACTCATGGTTCTTTAACTTCTGGAGGAACAGCCGCATTATCTGGCAGTGAAGGTTTAGGAGCTGTAGCGTTGGCCGGTAGTTCTGCTAACCTAGGAGGATTTGAAGGTGGATTAGGTCATCAACTTCTTGGTGGATTGGGAGGTGGAGAATTTTCAGCAAGTTTTGCCGCAAATGCTGCCAGCAGTAGTTCCAGTAGTAGCAGCAGCAGTAGCAGTTTCGAAAAGCATGTTAAAGATGGCGCTCATGCTATCGAAGAAAAAGCAAAAGAGGCTTCGGCTAGCAGTGCTGCAGCCAGCAGTTCAAGTAAGTCGAATTTTGAGATTTATTATCAGGGTTTATATTTTTGGCATCATTAATTTTGTATTTTTTACTGTTTAATTATTTATTAATGGAATGCATTTATCTTGTTAATTTTGGTAACGTTTTCTTATTTATTTCTTTATTTTAGGCGCTGCACAATCGAAGATTACTAAAAGACACCACCCTCACTTCTTCTAAAATTGCTGTGATTAACTCTTAAGTCTTACCTTTTAATTGATTTATTTAATGTATTTATATTTGATTTTATATGTATATGTAGTTTTGCAGTGTAAATAAACGATGTTTTATACTTAACCTACTTTTTATTAGTCGTAGTTAATTTTTTTTAACATTAGAAATAATATGAGAACAAAAGGGTGTTATGGAAGTCAATAAGAAAAGTTTAAGATAGGTTGGTAGGACACCTCCCCAGAGGTGAAGGGTTAGATATAGACATATTAGGAACAGAAAGAAAAATAATAGGGGTAGAGGTAGATCTGGATTAAATTACTGTTCGAAAATGGTTGTAGGTTGTTCTAGTTTTCGATAAATGCGTGTATTGGTTCAATATAGGAAGAAGTGAAGTTTGTGCCCAATCAATGTTCGGGCTGAAGACTTTATGGTAATGATTTAGTAATATTGCCGTTTTTTTTAAATCTTAAAATCCTTTAAGATTCTAAAAAGTGTGCCCATGGGCGAACAGTGATCCTTTTATGCCCATAAACACACTTTGGGCCATACAACGATAAAAATTTATTTCTAGATTTTACTGACGCGCGTCGTTTGGCGCCCTTCAGCTCAGTCGTCCGATCTGGGCTACCCCCAAAAATTCGACTATTAGTGTTTGACATTATAGTGCAATAAAAACTTAATGTACATTGGTTCTTATATACAGGGTGATTTATATTTCGATACAGTCTTTCGAAGAGGTTAAGCCACAGATCATTGCCAGTCAATTTGACTAACTCACGGACTGACACGTAGAACTCTGACCGCAAAGTAGTTTTTGAGTTTGGTTTCTTAAAAATTCTATAGAAAAAGTTAAATTTCTAAAAAAGAATAAATTTTGCAATGTACCTATAGTCAGCTGTCCAAAAAGTTGCATATATTTATTAATATTATAATGAAAAACAAAATGTTTCAGACTGAACCAGATAGAATTCATCTACATAAAGCGCTTCTTTGTCTAGAAGTATTGTATTATTGTTTTATTCCTGCAAGGTTAGTATACATTAATAAATGTATTTTTAGGTACCTGTGGGTAATGGGAAGAAATAATTTCAGTGTTTTACAGTTACCCTTTATACAACTTTTTGACAAAATCGTCACATAGTAAAGTAAAACTAGTTTTTAGACCTGCTATAGTAAACAAAATTAATTTNAGATATTATTATTATTAATTATATCTTATAAGTTTAGTTATTCGTTTGATTTACACAAAAACTATATGCATTTGAAGGGAAAATCGACTGATGACATTGGATGTGACTTTTGTACCTTGATGGGTACAAACCATGAAGGTAAGAGCGGAAAATTTTATAATCAGAAAAAATAGTCTTAAAGTTAATTTTCTCTTAATTTTTCAGTTCATATTTATGAGAAACCGAGAACAACCAAATATGAAATACCTTAATTGAATCTCATTATTTCGGAAGAGTTGAATTTTCTTTCCAAAAGGATAATCGTAAGTTGCATGTTCAAAATTTGCAGGGGTGTCAATATGTGTATGATGGTTACGGCAGTAATTATGGCTCATACGACCTAGTTTTCTCGCTATGGATTTCCAACATTGGAAAAATCATTATGTCGGTAAATAGAAGGAAATACAATCTCATAAGCCAAACCTCTCAATCACTCGATATCCCTATACTCTGGAATTTATAAAGGACCCCGCTAGATCCTTACAGAAAATGTCCTTTTGTCAAACTCTTTGAAACTTTGGATTCTGGTAGCTCTTGACGTGAAGACAAAAAGTCTCAATAAAAACTAATTATTTTGAGATATGGTCCCTTAAAGTTATGTATACTTGAACGCATTCAATGCGTATGATGTAATGGGTGAATTTCTAACTTGGAAGTCCTTATGGAAGAATGTAACTTCAAGAGACTCTATCTTAATAAGATGGAATTTTACGACATAGCTCCCATTAAGACTTTACATCTACACGTCGAGAACTATTAGAATCCAGTTTCGAAAAATTTCCCTAGACAAAAATTTTCAGTCTCTCTCCAGTCACTCAGAGTCTTTCAGCGTCTCTGGATCTCTCACAGTCTCTGTATGAGAGACTTCAACGATAAAATTGTTAATTCAGAGATTCGAGTCTCTCGTTCAGAGACTGAATACGAAATGAGGATCTCTCTATGATCGACTCGAGCCTGGTTCAGAGACGCTAAACAGTTTTTTTTTACAGTCTCTCGTCAGTCTCTCTCAGCGACACCAGAGAGATTCGATGAGAGACGGAGACTCGAGTCTCTCTTTTAGAGACTCTGAGAGAGTGAACATTTTTACCTCGGATTGACAAAGGGCCATTTTACGCAAAGATCTATCGGGGTGCTCTATAAATTCAAAAGTATAACGCTATCGGTTGATTGAGAGCTTTGACTTATGAGATTGCATCTCCTTATATCTACCTACATAATGATTTTCCAGAATTCCTGTAAGGATCTAGCGGGGATCTCTTTTAAGAAGTAAGAAACAGGCGACAGCATAAACAAAATGTATATGAAGATTTATTTTGTGAGTATTTTGAATACTAGTCGCCAGGTCAACACCACATTTTGGTGTGTATTATATGTATGTATGCTTATAAAATTATCGTTAGTAATGCATGCATTGTCGTTTTCAAATTACAGATCCTTTGCAGTAATTAAGCGATTAAGTAGTTACCTGTACTCAACAACCCTTAAATGCTTTTAGTACCTATTATAAATATATATCTAGATAAGATTAAAAAAAAAAGATCTTGATAAATGTATTATACATGTATTTTATCTGTGTGGNTCGAAATGTGGTGTTATAGGCGGATGATGAGGATATTGGGGGGCCCTACGTTTTATGTGCATAATGACATGAATGTATAAATATTTATTTATTTTATTTAATTCGTTTGTTGGTAATTAGTACCTAGTATCACCACATTGCTGCCAATGAGCGTACTTTACGTTATTTTTAAAAAAAGAGTAATTATTTATTGACTTAATTTAATAGTTGATTGATATCATGCCTAATGCCTTCTAAAAAGTTCACATGAATTAAAATCACTGCACTGAATGTTATTTCATTTTCTATTCTTCATACTATTAAAGTAATAGTTAAATAATTATTACGCTAACACCCGTGCCGACGAGACGACATTTTGGTCAAACTATATATACACGAACTTATTGGCAACAATACAATTTAAATAAGCGAATAAAGTCGTTTGGGTAGAAACAAACATTTTTTGCTGTTAGAGATAAGCTTTTTTTACTCGACTCGGACGAATTCATCGTAAACAACTTCGAATGACGCATACTAACTACGTGTTATAGGTATTTAAAACAGAGTTATAGGCAGAAAGAATTTTAGTAAATTTATATTTACAGAAAGGAAGAAGAAATACTTGCGCAAAATTGAATAATACATTAATGTGATATTATTTAAATTTAGTACTGTGCTTTTCGGTGAGATTTTGACGTTTACACATTTTTTGGCAGTAATTGATACCTTTTTTTCAATAAAAAATAGTCAAAAAGGGGTAAAATGTTCTTTATTTGTTACGTAATCTCTAACCGACAACCAGAATTAATAATAACAAATATCTTAAAATTATTTTAATTGTGGTTGTCAATTTACCCATATTTATTGTAATTATGTATTAATATTTATTATTTTAACAATCAATTTATTATTTTAAATTTCATGTTAATCTTTAACTTGAGGCTGTGGTTTTGTGTATAAGTTTTTATTGAAATGTCTAACAAATATTAAATTCTTGAGTGATTGTACTACAAACTTCCAATGTCTACCTTAATAAAGCCTCGGACAAAAAAGGCGAAATGTCGGTTGGATATTACAAAACAAATAAAGAAAATTTCATTCCCTTTCGGCTGCTTTCTAGTGAAAAAATATTAATATTATCACTGGGGAAGATAGTTCAAAGGAGCAATTGATATTAACAACGTTCAACATAGAAAGACAGCATTTATCCCTACATAGTATAAAACAAAAACGCTTGCCGCTGTCTGTCCCTATGTGTGCTTAGATCTTTAAAATTACGCAACGGATTGTGATGCGGTTTTTTTTAGTAGATAGAGTTATTCAAGAAGAAGGTTTATATGTATAATACATGCATAATATAGTAGAGAAACACTGATAATTTTAGAGGTTTCCAATGTGATGTAAATAAACACATTTTTTGCGCTTACATTGCAAACGCTGGCTGAACCCTACGAGATAGATCAAAATAATGCACTATTGTACATCTTAAAAAGGCCTACAAAAAATCCTCTATGGTGTATGTCTATCTCTTAGGGATAAGCCACAATAACCATTTTTTATCCTTTACTTTTAAGCAATACAGCATTAATTCTTATCCAATTAATTACCTTAAATACATTGTGCATTTACTATAGATCAATATGGCTCTTTACAGCATGTAATTTAAATGAATATTTTCGAAGATATTACAGATTTAAAATGTAGGAACATAGCGGTTGCGACGGTACCGGGGGGCCGGTTTGTATTGTCTAATGACAAAAAAGCTGTGAATATTGTATATAAAGACATTCTGTAGTTTATTTAGTATGTTCAGGGGGTGTCTTTTAAAAAGTTTTCCCTCCTTGAGAATCATCTAAATAAAAAAAATATATATTTAGTATCAGCATTGGACCCGTGCGAAGCTGGGGCGGCTCGCTAGTTTATCCATAAATTGTAACTCATATGAATATGTGCATTTAATTTAATATATTTGTGTAATTATTTTTTTCTACTAGTCTTGTTTCTTGAACTGAAAGCGAGAACAAAGATTTTGAACAAAAATAGATTAAGGATGTTATCCTACATGCAGGAACCAGTGCGCACCTTAGGTTGGACTAGCATGACCAGGCGTAGATATTGTAGGTTCACGCAGGTCAGAATTGTACCTCAACTGATACGATCTACTATGACGGTCGCTGCTGTGCGGTTCGTGCTGTGCTTCTTTACTATCCGCAGCATTACGTAATGCGGGCACCTTCACGGGCAGGTTTTTTGGTCGTGTCCGTGCGGTATAATGTGCGTTCGAAACAAAATCAGTACCGATTCGGTTTTTGCACAAGCCCAGTGTTAACATTACG